ACAGGAAGATAACTAATTCAGATGTATAGCCAAAAATGTGCCGACAGACCATCCGTGCTGGGTGCATGGATTGAAATCTTGTCCTGTCACTCAGCCACCACAGGTTTAACATGTGTAGGGGGCTGTGGGTGGAGTACAGAAAACACAAAGTGAGTAATTAGACTAATTATCTTAAAAATTTGTTATTGTGTCCGTATAGTGACACACTTTGGCTCCAAGTGTCTCACTACACGGACAAAATGACTCAATTATTACGATATTGAGTCAAATTAATCACTTTGTGTTTTCTGTGGATATAGTAGAGGGGAGAGGGGCTATAGCAATGGAGTTATGGGAAAGAGTTTTTTCGTGAACTAGTTTATTGGAAGTCTCCCTAACGTGCCATGTTCGGTGTCACAAACCGTGATCAACTAAAAAAACACTCAAGTTTTGCGGCCACGTCACTGGTAAAAAGAACTCTTCGGAAACCGATTTTGATACTTACAACGAAAAAGAAAAGAAATGTATTAACGAATAGCTTGCACCGAAGTCTCGTGATAACTCTCTTGGTTTTGATAAACAACCCAAATGTACCACTCGTTTAAAGGTTTATCTGGGCAGAACCACCTCAGACTTGCCAGTGTCGATCAGGCATGCCTATCAGGCAAGGTCACAGTTAGGATCAAACTGTAACTCCTCTTAAAAAAAAAACAAACGAAAACGAAAAATATATTTGTAAAAGATAAAAGTGTTAACAGCTCAATACACAGGTTGATCCTTAAAACGAATGAAATTCTCGTGTAAATCTGCGTCTATTTTCAAGTACAAATACACAGTTTGTTTGGGCCAAAATCTATATTTTACACAATCCGCGTCTAGTGTATTCAGAACGTAGAAATTATAAAAACGGCCATTAACGTGTAAAACCTCAATCCATTTACGCATAAACATTAAAAAAAATAACAACAATGAATTTGTAAACCGTGACATGGTCAAGTTTTGAAGAAAGTTGTTTAAACTAAGGCCAAAAAAAAATATTCGGTCTCTGGTCAGACCAACGTTCCGGAATTGACGCGGCCACGCGGCTTTTTTTTTTTTTTTCCTTTTTTTTTTTCTTCAAGCTTGGATTGTACAGACGAGGTAGGGTACTATTTTGCTTTTTTGGTGTCCTCATGTACATTGGTGTCCTCCATAATTTGCCTTGGTGCTTTCGATCATTTGCCTTGGTGCAATTTCCCATTCCTTGGTGCTCTCTGGTAAAAAACAATTGAGGAGGTGCGGAAATAGAGGACGCTGTTGGAGCTACCGCGGAACATTTTGGAAAAAAAAAATTGAAGCGCATGATTAAAATCGACACGCGCGCTGACCAGAGACCGACTTATTTTATTTTTTGGCCTAAGATTAAAATGAAAGCAAAATAATTAATTATACATGTACAAAGGTAACTAAGGATGAGTGATGTATTAATTACAAGCTCGACTCCCTGGCCTGGAACGATACATTCAGACTGATCGGTATTACACAACTTTTACAAATCGACTTTCTCGGCAGATATCGCTGGGAATCTCTTGGCTATCGACACTGATTTCCCACAAACAATTTCCACAATATGCTATCTCGAGCTAACGCTCCACAAATCTGTGCTACCACACCACCGATCTGAGCTCATCCAGACTTTGACGAGACCCGACCAGAAAACTTGAACTAGCCTGAACGCCCCAACTACCCGAAATGCCTTTAAATGTTACACATAAAAACCTACAAACTCTGTCAAACCTGCCCGCTACGACCGTATTCAAAATTACCACACCGTGTTATCATGAATTGAGGTGGATTGTGAAATACTTACGATATTAAATATAAAGAAAAACACTCCGCCCTCTTGTGACATTTGGCTGTTATGTGTTTAGCTCGATTATAACAAGCATTTTATATTTAACTTCGATAGATTACGAATTTAGACAACCATTATTATGTAACATATTGTTTGCCCACTTTCTGTATGTTTTTACGTTGTTGGGGCAGAGAATTATAACTGTGTTTCCCAAAGTAATGTTACAGCACTGAATGTAAATGCATGTACATGTAAACTGAACAGTTTCTACGAAACATGATTGTGATGTAAACCAAAGCAATATACAATAACTTACAGCAAATTATAACTGCAAGGGCGAAGAAGGCAAGAGGTTTTTTAAATTGTTATTTACACAAAGCTTCTGAGTATACGTTTAACGGGTTTTACGCATGATGTATTTGTTTTTTATTCTGATAACTAATGGCCGAGTGATATCAAATGTTTGAACTCTTTTAATTTATTACAGTCTGGATACAAATTTGTTGAATTTACTTTAGCAATCTTGAAATAAGCTAGCTATGTACACGCCAGTGGTTATTATTCTTTTTAAAATCGATTATGACAGAAAGTTGTACATAATTCCACATCTATACAGCGTGTCCCAAAAAAATGTCCCTCTGATAGACTGCTAAATTAATTCCAATATCAAGTATTATTCTCAATTTAGTGTTCAGATTAAGAAAGCCCATGTAATTTTGTAACTTCTGTGAAAATTACATTGGTCTCGCTTCATTGGTTTTAAATACACAGTCTATTATGTAACAGCAGTGCTTTTCAGTCCATTCCAAGTTTGAAGGTGGAAGGGTGTGCAGGAGGACAATAAAGGTTTACAAGCTGGACATGGAAGAACAAACCATAAGTGGAACACACCCTGTGAAAGCAAACACGACCAATGGAACTGAACTTTGATTAGTTTTCACTTAAAAAAAAGGAAATGAACTTTACTGTAGTTACTTAATAACAAAAACAAGAACACAGTTGTTGAAATAAAAGTGAAGCATGGAATAAGGTATGGTATGTCTGTAGTGTGCATTTCTTTTTATCAAACTTGGAATGGGCTGGAAAGCACTGCTGTTACATAAAAGCCTGTGTATTCAAAACCAATGAAGCGAGACCTTTGAAATGTTCACAGGAACTACAAAATTAAGTGGGCTTTCTAAATATGTAAACTTAATTGAATATAAAACTTGATTTTGGTAATTATTCTGTGGTCTATGAGAGGGACATTTTTTTTTGACACGCTGTACTGGACTATTTATCCAATACAGAACTGGCAATTGTGCATTAAAGGGTCCCATGCAATGTAATGTTGTAATGGAAGCCTTGAAATTGCAATTTTGTGTCCCATTTAACTTAATTTTCAATTTTCATTTTGCCATTTTCAAGGGTATTTTGGTGCTTTTGGTGTTTTTATGCTAATGCGAAATTCCACATTCATGATCAACGGTGTCATGAATGTGTTTTTATGCTAATGCGAAATTCCACATTCATGACCAACGGTGTCATGCCATTTTAGGCAGAAACATCAATATGACAGCTATCTCAGCTCCAAAAGTTGCCATAATTTTGGAGATTGTGATGTCCCAAATGTTTATTTCTTTGTTGATTCGTTGTTGCTCCAATATAAACAGTCATTCAATGAACACACTTTTCTCACAAATGTTTTCAATGAACAAATGTTTGGGTTCACAATTAGAAGATGAACAGCGTCTTCCTAAAACTGCAAGAGCGCACTCAGTTGTCAGGAAAAGCATTGTCATTTTGTAAAAATTTAAAGAAGTGCAATTTTAATCCTATTAACCAAAAGTTACACAAAATATTTATGTTCCTGAGTAAAAGTCATGTCATGGCCCCTTTAAGGTCCTTAGCCTTTTTACATTTAAATGAGAAATATATTTTCTTTACCAAGAAGCAAATCGATTTGACTTTTCTGAGCGATATTTTCTTTTTCCTTTTTCAAGTACAACATAGCACTATTGTCACTATGGGTCTTCAGGCATTTTGACTTTTTGGGTTACTGAAATCAAATTCGTACCTCGTACACACATTTTGTTCTTGTTATTTTCACCAATTGTCGTTTTGCCAACATATTCAAAGATTAATAATATTATATCTTGACTTTTGTATTGCCCAATTCGACAAATACGTGTACCTGTACTTCTGAAATTACTGACAGGCATAAAAAAATAATCTGAAATGAACGACTATATAATAATTATTGGTATAATATCAAGTTGGAAGTTACAATACTTCCAAAACGACTGACAGGCATAAACAATAATTCGAAGTAAATAACCATTGTACAAATTCAACTGTCAATATCTTTGACTAACAAACAAGTCAGTTGATGTAACTTCAAGTTGGAAGTGGAAGTTCCAACAGTTTCGAGACGGACCATGGAATATTGTCGTGTACCACAAATGATCGCTCAACGCATACGGATTTTCTGGCTCATTGCACACTGTGATGCAACTGCCAGGGTCTCCAGTGACATTTCTGTTATTCACATCCAAATATGTGATCAATATTATTTTCAAATGACAGGTCTAATCGCAGCAAAGTTTAGTCATTTATTGGAAAAGTGATATAAACTTTCCATTTCCTTAAAGTGACAGCATACACGTACAAATCAATACGATTTCACAGGATAATGAGCTATTTTATAACAATTTGACATTTTGTTTTCAGTTTGTTTTTTCTTTATTTTTTTTAATTAGCCATCTGTGACAAAACTGGACAACTACTCTTGCATGTTTATTCTATTCTGTTTAAGATCATTATAATTTAGTAATTTGATGGGCCACAATCAATGAACATTCACCTACTAACATGTTGCTTTTATGATATGATCATCACATTTGGGTGTAATCTAGGTGAAGGTAAGAGTTAACATTCATGCAAATTGTGTACCTTCAAGTATCCATTCACAACGATGCCTGACTTTAAACTGTCTACTTTGTTGCGAGGATCTCAATTTAAAAATGCAAACAGATTGTTTCGTATTAAAACAAACTCTTAAAATCATCAACGGTAAATTTGGAGAACAATTTGGCGCGAGAAGGCATAAAGCCACCAAGTTTATGTATACTTGCATCAGGCGTGTTTTATTTTTATTTAGTTTCATTTTATTTTATTTGTTTATTTATTTGTTTATTTTTGGGGTAGGTTTGGTACATTTGTTTTCATTCTCTAGTAAGAATAGGCCTAAATACCGGTGTGCATAAAACAGATCGAAACGCAGCTACGGGGAGGCGGTTTTATGCCGGATGACATCGTTGACATCACACCTTGCGATATATCTTGACAGAGTGGTAGTCAGCCACTGCCAGCTGCTGCCCATTGGCTGTGAATGCGATTCCTAGGGGAGTGTAGAGACCCTGCGCCACACAGCTGACAAACTGTCCAGCGCAATCATAGTGGTGAATGTGACCGGTGTTGACGCTTTCCGTGACCACTGCAAGGTAGATACCTGAGCTGTTGCTGCACACACCCCCGCAGTATTTCACTGGTTTACCGTCAATGGTTGGTTTGATGACGCAGACTGTAACAGCGTTGCCGTCAGACACCTCCACTATCTCAACTAGTCCCTGCTCCCAATCACTGATCACAATCCAACCATTGCTCAGTACAGCCAAGTAGACAGGTTGTGTCTTCACTGTCATGGTGTGTAGGATCTCACCATTCCTGGGATCGAGCTCTTTCAACACCTTCCTCTTCCCATCACCTACCATGATGTTACCATTTGGCATGACAGCTACGCTCGTGAGCTGCACGTCTGTCTTGCCAACCTCACTCTCCTGTAGTGTGCCAAAATCACGTGCTGGCTTGGTGTCCCTATGGTAAACCATCACCTTGTAGGGGTTAGCACACACCCACTGATTGGATACAACAACGACATCATCTGAAAATTAAAAAATAATATTGAATAAGATTATTCAGATAACTGAATAAAAAATTACTATTGTCAAGTTTATATACATGAATTACTATAAATAAATACATTTCTGACTGAGAGTCAAGTGATTCTGATCCAATAATCCTGAATTCACTCTGAGTATTTTGAAACGCATATGGAAAGTGAACCAATATAATGGTGGTCAAACAAATGTGGATGTCATAATAAGTTCAGTGCTCAAATGTTGTTGAAGAATTTACCTGAATCATTTTCAACAGTATAGGGAATTTTTTTTTTTGGGGTGGGGGTGTGGCACTCTCTTTTTATCTAGTTATTTGGATATTTTCACAGTGTGTCCACTTTCGAATAGTGACTTGGATGTTCTTAACTATTCTGTTCCCCCTTTTTATTTGAGGGGGGGGGATGCTTTAAGATTATTTCTTTCTTTGAAAGGTCTTTTTCTATTATCCATTGCAACTAGTGTTGTACATGTACATGAGAGTGATATACAGCGCGTCCCAAAATACCCAGAACAGTTTTTGCGACGCTCTATCATCGCCGCGGAAACGCGTACCGCCATGATTTTTTTTATAAACATTCATTTTAATCTTAATTTGTCACTGGTAATTATTGGTTTGATTTTCAAAAGATTTTTTAAATCATTCATGTCAAAAACAAACTCAACCGGTTTCAAGGAAAATCAATCATGCGCATTAAATAGACTACACCTTAAATAAAAACACAATATCGTTCTTCGTTCCAATTTCAATTTTTTTTTAATATACAATTCACGTGCCAGTATGTACCAATTCAAAAAGCGCGCTCAAAGTGTGACTCGTGTTTTCATCTGATGTACCGCATCATCGATTTTCCTTGAATAATTTTTAAACTCTTTTGAACAACAAACCAATATTAGCCAGGGATACAGTTGAGATTTCAAGCTTTAAAATGGTATCAAAATAATGACGGTACGTGTTTCTGCGCCGACGCTATAGCCGACGCAAAAAAAGTTGCGGGTCTTTGGGGACGCGCTTCACATGCCGATGTATTAATAATTTACCACTAACACCGCACTGACACAGTGCTTTCAGATGATTTGATCAAGCTATTTAAATGGGAAAATAACTGTATATGAAGTCGTAGAAAGGGAGGGTGGGGACCCTGTTGTCTCCCCAGTGGTCAACCGTCAAGAGAATAGACGGATAACATTTATTCCGGCGGCATGCGAATGAGAGTCCAACGCCTACTCCATTAAAAACAACTGTGATTTTACGCCAAAAAGAACATACAGCAGACTTTCCAATATATTTGATTAATGGGGTAATGCAGATCAAATCAATTGGAGGACCAATTAAATGTATGTACTTGGTTCTCCGTCATTTAAATTTCAATGCAGTTTACTTGAGAATATGAACTTGAGAAAAAAAACGTACATGCAGGCAACACAAATAATGACATGCATTAATGAATGCCGTTGTGGCGCTCTCTACTTATCTAGACAGTTATTTGGATATGTTCACAGTGAATCCACATTCAAATAGTGACGTGGTGCAGTTGACTGTTTTCAGTTTTTTTTTCCTTTTGTTTTCTTACTCCGCACTGACACAGATGATTTGATTAAGCTATTTGAATTAGAAAATGAAGTTAAATGACGACATGGAAAGTGAGGATGGGACCCTATCGTCTACCCAGTGGTCAGTTGGATAGACGATAATATTACAAACGTGACTCCAACGCCTCGTCTAAAATGAACATACATACATGGCATTTCGGGGGGAGTGTAGATCAGACCAATTACAGGACCTATTAAATGTATTATGTACTATATTGGTTCTTTTTGGTTTACATATTGTTAATTGCATTGAGAGATTAAATGGAGCAAAAACAGACGCAGCCCCCAAAATGGCATGTATCTATAGCCCTACATCGAAATGGCATGTATGTATAACTCCCATTGCCTACGAAGACATTGACAGGTAAAAACAACTCACTTGCAGCGATCGGAATGGAGCTCCTGGTTTGTCCCCGGCTGTTGCAGATTACTATTCGCTTGTTGCTCCCGTCTGTGACAGCAATCTCGTCAGGGTCAGCAGCAGCAGCAATGCCTCTGGCTCCTTCAAACTCCCCCTTACCGCTCCCCTTCTTTCCAAAGGAGTGGCACATCTCCCATGTGTCTTCCACCATCACCTTGCCCAGATCGATGTTAAGCTTCTTATTCTGCACAAAGACGGGATGCGATTTCAACCCCGCAGCCTTTGGACATGGTTGGGCTCCGAGCCTGGCCACGTATTTGCTGACAACGGGATAGAGGGAAAGTAGATCACAGTCTGATGCGTTACTCGCGACGTCTTGGGTTGTTTGTAGGGAATGTTTTTTTATCTGCATCATGTTACTCAGTGTTTTCTCGTGCTCATCCAGCCGCTCATTTTGCTTTCTTTCCTGGGTTGTGATCTCATCCAGGAGTCGTTTCTCTTCAGCTTTGACCTGTGCTATGACCTCAGCAGCTCTGCCCTGCACCCCCTTTCGAGCCTTTGCCGTGTTATCCTTGGCCATCTTCTTTGCTTTAATAGTGTCCTGCAGAGACAATTCAATGCTTTGTATACCTCTATCCAAAGCAGGCAAGTCCTTCTTCAATGACTGTCTATATTCTCTTGAAGCCGTTCCAGTGTCAGTGACGTCATGTGTGGCGGTGGGATGATCTATAACCGTGCAGCCTTGGCAGATCAGCTTATTGCATGTCTTGCAATAGAATTTCACGCCCTCCTTGTGTTTGGGGCATTTGTACACGTCTGGTTGTTTAGTCACATTCACCTTCCCCTGACGAATGTCATCAAAACTTGCTATTTTGTGGGTCTTTAATGTGGGAAATTGCTGGTGTGACTTACAGCAATCCTTGCAGATATTCTTTTCACAATCCATGCAGTGATCTTTAGCTTCATTTCCCTTGTCACATACCTGACAGAATAACTTTGCTTCAGCTGAACATGCTACCTTTTCCTGTAATTCAAATTCCTCAATCAGACCAACCAAATGGAAGTTGGTCTTGAGGCCCTGTATGCCAGACTGGGGAAGTACCGTCACCTGACGACACACAGGGCAAGGGATGTTGGGTTTGTTTCGGTGTGTGCCATCACGATATTTTACCAGGCATTCTTCGCAGAAACTGTGTAAGCAGTCAAGTACTTTCGGCTTTTTATATTTATCTGTGCAAATGTTGCACTCAAGATGAACGCCGATCTTCTCAAAAGCAGAGCCTACCAATTTCGCAGTAGCCATCTCTGTGAAAAAAATAAACATGTAAATTATTGTACATGATGCTCAGAGGTAGTAACATCAATCGAATAATGACATTTGTAATATATGGTGGAAACTGGGTATATATTTCTTTGTTCAGTCTATTAAAAAATTGAGATCTTGCACCGTCCTCTTTTTCAAAAGAATAAAAATCTGCATGACGCTTTTGACCAATATACACGCCAGTTTTAAACGTGCTTGTTTAAAATCGGCCAAGCGTATATTTGTTTCCTTAGTCAAATGGATTGTTTTTCTACATATAACTGTGTTTGCACTCTGTATATCAGTTTGGAATTAAGAAGACTTGCTTGTCAAAGATTTATCTTGTTTTGGTGGTTGCATTGTACCATATTTTCAGCATTATAATTATGACACGACTTCTTTATTAAAAGAATCTGAGATGATTTTACAAATTCCCAGATGCTTGGTCTTTGGCATTTTTTTTCACGGGATATCAATTTTTATTTCAGAGGTGACTAGAAATTCTATCTTTCAATGACTAGTGTCTACCTTTGTATTTATTCTTGGATGATCCAGGGGAGTCAGGTTACGACGGGCAATGACAAGCTGACGCGCCACTGTGAAACGAACCTAAATGAGATAAAAAGCAAATGAAAATGCATTGTGTTAAAACACGTGCATTATATACACTGGACGGGACTTCAATATATTTCATTTTCAAACCATCATTGTCATCGTTGGGCTTACCAGTGTAGTGTAATCGTGTCCATCACAAGTCCATCACAAGTCCTTCAGTCTCAAGTCAAGTCACTGGCAATTCAAATGAACTGTGACAAACCATTCCTTTGTCACTGTTCATCCATAACTTGTGACTGGACTTGTGAAAGGACTTGTGATGGACTTACAACACTGCTAAATACATTAATTCAGGTTTGCACTGATACATTTCGTTGGCGGGAGTCGGGCTGGGAGTGGTTTGGGTTCATCTAACCCCTACTATGAAACATATGGGAGTAAAGTAGAAAAGACACAAAGCCATGTGCGCTGTCATACATGTATGAATTAAACGCAAAGAGATCAACACATTGCTGTAATTTGGCTGAAGTAAACCGCGGTTTGTTTTAAATAGAATGTTATATAGGGGGTTGTAACGCCCTAAAAGTGCTGTGACCTAAATGGGTGGTTTGTGGGTTTTTTTTCTGAGAATAATTCATGTTTCAAGAATTGTTTCTTCGACTACTTAAGCTTACACAATGGATGTTTTTCAAACATCAATGTTGAGAATTATGATGTTATTTTTCATGTCAACTTTTGTGTTGATTAAACAATTCCTAACAAACGTCAATTCATTTTATGCACAAAACTAATTGTATAGATGGAAGTAAATCCCATACATTACAGGTGGTCTGTACAGACAAATCACGTGCACAATTCACAGATGATCTCATCTCAAGTGCTTTGTTGGTTACTGTGTTATATATTTACTCAATGGCGGGTAGGCGTACTTGAATGTGCATTTTGGACCTGGGAAAGATACATGTATGGTTAATGATTGAACACTGATTATTTCTGGCTATTTCTCTTTCATTCTGAACTGACGTTGTTGCTAAGACGACTAAATGAGAATGATTATGTTTTAATTTACAACACTTTACCGCATACAATGCTACAAAGTTCATTAGCCTTGAATTAGGAAGTCCAAAACGAATGGATCTCACAATTATAACGTTTTTTGCTCCACAATTGGCTGTGCAGATCACCTCGTCCTCCACTAATGTTTTTTAAATTAAATACAATCCTTTCAGACACGTCCATGTCAAGCACGTATACAGTGTGCCTTTACTACACCGCAGGTGCGCTTTTGGGTTGCAGCGGCAAGCGACCCTTGTGTCCATCTTCCTTACTTTGTAGCCCTTAATCTTGGGTGGCTGATATCTGCATTCAAGCAGTTTGCTGTATTTACTTGGTATATTTTTGGCACTAATGTCTGATAAAATGTATGTCAGTGGTGAACTTTTACTGGGATTTACTAGTATTTGCAAGAGTTGAGAATTGTTATCAAAAACACTTCTTTATCTTTGAAGAATCTGTCATGGTTTTAGAAAATCCATTATGGTCAAGCCTTGTTGCCTCATGTCACTTGTTCTTTAGAAATGTCAAGCGCGTTTTATCAGTTTGATACATTGGATGTAATTTGTACATCTTTCTCGCTATTTTTCTCTTTCATAGGCCCTATAGGCCCTTTATTATCATAGTTGTTTTATTATAATACTTCAGAGGGTAACGCGAAAAAACAGAGTTGTCTTGAATAAGAACAGTCGAAACCAATAGATCTTACTATAAGATTTCCCGGCCAAATTCAACTGAAAGCCCCGTTCAAATTAATGTTTGGCTCGTCCAGTTTCATTTTAAAATGAATACTCTGATACATCAGTGTTCAATCGTTAAAAGGAGTTGTTCTGTTTCATCTTGAAAGCATTCACTCGACAAATATAAACCTGTATGTGCTCAGGTTTTAAATGATGCTCAGGCAAGAACCAAAACAATTTTGGACAAATAAGTCCACTGTTATTTGAGCAGCTGGTGTATGCATGTCCATAGCAAACACATCATTGTCGTTGTCATACATCATGACAACTCTGATCATTACTCTTGATACACTTGATTTTATTAAGGAGCTTGTTTGTCATAATGCCCTAAACTTGTTGTGAACATACATGTATCATCCCAGTGTGATAGGGGAAGTGGTATATGACCAATGAAATATGTCATTTGAATAATTCAATTTCAGCTTTGTGGGCGTTCTCAAATGTTTCTACAGTTATAAACATTTTACTCAGGAAACTCAGATACCAGGTTTCATAAACCAGATAAGGTAAACTATGTCGACAAGTGTGTCGCTATGTTGCCGCATGTTTGCCCGCTTTGTACTCTTTGGTATTGATTTTTTTTCTTTTGAAGAAAGAATTATTGTCTTATTACAACTCATGTTTCAAGAAATGCATTCCGGCTCAAACCAAGCTTACATGATTTGATATTGCCACAAGGTTGGATCTAGTTTTCACTCGGAAAGGGTGGAGGTGTAAAGAGGGTGAAGCTGTACCAAAGGAACAACCTGCTAGGGGGTCCTTAGGCATGCCCTCCTGGAAAACCACTACGATGCTTTTTCCTGCAATCCCAAACCTGCATGACCTCCCACCAGATCTGCCACTGTGCCATACATTTCTTTTTAGTATTATGAGAACGTTTATAACTGTATTACCTATTCACACACTCTCTCTCATCTTTAACAATGCCCCTTCAGTAGCAGATTTAGAGGGAAGGGGTTGCAACCGGGATTTAGCCGCTGACTAATGCTGTGAAAATAGTAAACTGGGGCCAAACATGATAAAAGGAAAGCTCAAGCTCTCAAATTGACATGTGTTCTTGAATAGCTTTAGAAAGAAGGGAAAATCAACGCCGGTTTCCAAAGTTTCCTGGGGTGGAGGGGGGAGGCCCCCCCCCCCCGAACCGGCAAGCCCCCCCCCCCCCTCGTTTTGCTAAAGCTATAACAGCCTTACTCGTACATGTAAATGTATATGAATGCATAGGGATATGGAATCAGATCCCATATACATGACTTTAAGAGTTGCGTTTGAAGACGCATCACGCACACTGATTAGGCTGATGCAATGTACAGACAATCTGATCTCAAGTGCTTTGTTTGTTATTGTGTTATATTTACCTAATGGAGGCGTACTTGAATGTGTATTTTGGACCTGTGAGAGATATGGTTAATTAGGCCCCAAAAAAATAGTTCTGCTTCCGATTACATGCCTTTCAAAAATAGGGTCGGTCGGTCGGAAAAAAAAAATTGCCAATTTTTTTTTATGCAGATTGAATGGGATATTTAATTATATGCGAAGTTTTAGCCTGAACTATTTCTATTGCACTACGAAAGCTATACACGAAATGGCAACAAAAAGTGAGTAAAACCTACCTTTAATTATTGTCAATATATTTACGTTCGATAATTTCAAAAAATAATGGAAAATTCAGGCCGTTCGCACCATATGCACAACGCTAGTCAAGACGCGGGGAGCTGGCCAAAACTCCGAGGTGTGTAATGCGTGCGTGTACGTGTGTGGCGAGCGGCCCAAATTGGGCCGTCAGAGCTGTTTTTACCGTCAACAATTTCGGGAAACACGCGGCATGTATCACTCTAAATACGAGTAGTGCGATCTCAAAATGAACTCCTGAACACAGAAAATACATACACAGACAAGCTAGATCAATTCTGTAAATTAACTTGCAAAAATGTTCTTTCTCCATCGGTGTTTTCTTGGCATTTTTACGATGTCGAATCCGACCAGTTGACAGTGGCCTGCACTGTACTGATAGCGCGCTATCGGTCACATAGCTAGCTATGGACTGGTTACCGCATTTTCATTATGTCTTCTAAATTGGCCCCTGCGCGGCACGGCGGGAAAAAGTCGTCGCCACGTGATTATAGTCACCGTGCGTGACATCGAATTGCGAAGTAGTTATATCGCGAAGCGAAATTGTAATAACGGAGGTTTCTTTGAAAAAAAAGCGAATGTAAGTAAGAAAACAAATAAATACAAGCAATTTTGGATGCAAAAGGGTTGTTGAGAGGTATTTTGTGAAGACAGAAAAGACATATTTTTTTTTTATTTATTCTTTTTTTTTTTTTTTTTTTTTTTTTTTTGGAATTGCAGATACAATTTTTAGGGTCGCAGCCTAAAAATAGGGTCGGTCGGGTAACCGGAAGCAGAACTATTCTTTTTCTTGGCCTTATTGAACACTGATTCTCTCTCTGGCTATTCCTCTTTCACTTACATGTAGGTTGTTGCTATGACGATTGGATAGTGATAATCTTTTTTTAAATTCATAACACGTCACCATAGCTAACTTTAGTTGAATAGTCTGAAATAAAACAATCCAAACCAGCCGATCGTACTGCTATTACACATGAATTTAACTTCATTTTCCACGCATTTCCATATGACTAGTGGATGTAT